ATATATATATATCCAAACTTTAATAAAGTTATAATACCATCAGTTAAAAAGGGATTGATCTCATCGGGAGTAGAGAAGGAGAGAACCGCGGTGATCCCTTTTGGCTTTTGCCTCGATGATCAAGGTTTTTCTCTTTTTCCTTTGTATTGGTGTCGGACTGACTTGGTCATGTGGTCTTGGTACATATATTAACATTTCCATGTTTTGTTTCAGAAATGAAAGAATGAACAACTTAATCTAGATGAACATGAAAGGAGGATGATAATAACTTTTGTTCTGCTCCTTCTTTTTCTTGCATTTGCTTTCTTTTTCCTCTCTTGATCTAATCTCAAATCTCTGGTTTTTTCTTTTACTATAGGGCTTTTCATTAGTCTAGTATAGGCTTCACGGATATAGCCCACATAAGTCAAAAACTAATTTAAGAGTCTTTATCCCACATCGGTCAGTCTACTTATTTTGTGTATGTTTATTTACCAGACAAAACTATCTTTTCAACGTCGAGCTAAGTAGCGGTAGCTTGTAACCCGAGTGGGGACGATAAGATGGTGGAACACTGGTTCGGTGTCACGGGTCGGTTCTGGTTTGGCATGTTTCTGAGCTGCCCAGTCCAAGCTGTGAGTAGTCTGTGTGTGTCGAGCGAAGGCTTGGCTCAGGCAGGTTCTAAAGTCGGAGGGTAATGCGTGAGGCTGGTTTCACAGAGCAGCGATCACTTCCCGCTTACAGCAGTGGACGGATTACGGTTCAGCGCCGGTCAGATCCACTATGGCTCGCTGGTTCGATCTCTCAGCTGAACCACCATTTTTTACCCTCTTAATGGTTTTTTTCCCCTCAGCTTACATGAAGTTTCCTCTCCAGACTCGCTAAGCTGTGCTTTGTCAATAAAAGCATAAATCAAAGAATGAGAACTGTGGAGCGAGAGTCTCTATACAGGATAGTAACAAGGTTACCTTGGTCTAAGAGTAGACCAACCCGATGTAACAGTCATCTTTACTTCATACATGAATTAATAGTTTGAGCACCTTCGCAAGTTTGATCAACGAAAAAAAAGGAAATCGATTTGGAACGTGTTACAACTTACAAAGCACAACGGAAGATAACTGAACGACCCTTGTCCACTGCACTCGTCCATCAGAAGTGTTTTTAATTGTCGGAAGTAATTCAACCTCAAACAAGTAATCTTTTATACAATCAAAAGAATCCCAACTTAGATTATACAACTTTTATATTATTAATAAAAGAAACAACGGAAGTTCATGAACGATGAAACAAAAGAACCAGAACCGGCAACCAATGGCTAACCAAATCAATCAAGTGGATGGAACTCCAAAGCCTCGGTCTCAGCTTTCTCCTCGGCAAAGATTTTTGAGATCCTCTCTGTTGGAACCAACGGCATGTACGATGTAACTCTGTACCCTTTCTCTGCAGCCTTAACCACGGTATCATTGTACTTCTCAGAGCAGAAAGCAGCTGTTGGTACAGCAACTTGAGCCAGCCTTGGGAATAGAGGAAGCTGGTTCAGCTTCTTCCAAGCTGAAACGGCACATTGCTCTGCTTTTGGCTCGTAGTTTGCATACAACTCCTTAGCTGCAGGTTCATACTTGGAGTAGACGGATTTAGCCATTCCAGAAGCGGTTTCGACAACACCAGCACGTCGAACCTCGGAGGCCAAGGCACGGGCCACAATGGGTGCTATCTGAGCAGCTGATATGGCCTGGGCAGATACCTGTTTGACGACTGGTGGGACACGGCGATCAAGCTCAGTCACAGACAAGTCAACCTGAAATGAACACAGATATCGTCAGATTCAAAGAAAGTGATTATACAGGAACACAATGACACTGACCCGCTTACAAAAAATCTTCTACCTAGAGTATCTCAAAAATAAGAACGACCTTTAACAAATAAAGACCATCCTACTGGATTATAAACAGACAGCATCTGTTATGATAAAAAAGAACCCAAATTGTCAAAAACTCCAGAGAAACGCTTGGTTTTGAAATCATCAAAAGCTATTTAGTGTATCTCTAATTGCAAAAGAGGGGGAGATGTGAAGATTACCTTCTGGTCCATGTATTTAAGGACCTCAACAGGGACGTCATGGTATTTCTCGTAGACAGGACCGACCACAGTCTTGACAGCCCCTTCAACGGATTCAACACCAGGTTTCAAAGGACCAGATTTGTCCTTTGCCTTTGCGTAAATGAGAGCAAAACGAAGCAGAGCTTCAACAGCAGCACCTTGCACGAACTGCAAATACTTCAACCTCTCTTTCTCCTCCTTGGTCTGAAAAATTCAAGAATTATAAAACATGCAATTAGCCCATAAAGTTTCTTCTGCTTTTGTTTCATCTCGTTAATTCTCTAATCTTCTAGATAGATAAAACATGCAATACGATCTGTACAACAATGGTCGGAGAATTGAAGTATTGAACTACAGATTCAGGAATAAGATAGGCATAGACATTTGTACATAATCAAAACCAAAATACCTAAATACATAAACAAAACGAACTGAACCAAAACCAAAGAGCCTCCAAAATTCCAATCAAAGAAACGAAATATCAAAAAATTGAGAGGTAAATCGATGGCAAAAAAAAAAGAGAGATTTCTCTCAAAATCGAGTCGTTATATATTTTTAAAAGGGATTGAGTTAACGAAATTACCATATCGAGTTTGGGCTGATTAAGATCCGTTTGAGCAGCCATGATCGCTTCGACAAATCGGTGCAGAGAGATAATTATCGAGAAAAAAGAGTTTTGTAGATTCTTAAGAAAATTTAAAATTGATTTTGACGAACAAAACAAAGCAGTGGTGATGAGAAATCGACGTAACCTAGATTTGGTTTATATAATAAAGAAATTTTCGCACGTGTGAAATATGTAAAACGCGTGTGAGCGTGTGTTCTAATTGGGTCGGTTAAGAGCATGTCCTTTTGTATTGGCTTTCGTAACCATCCATATTCTATGGGCCGTTGACGACTTGTGGGTTAAGTAAACGTATGTAGCTCAGAAAAGGAAACAATTATTAAAAAGGAAATAATCGCCAAAAAAATATGTTAATAGATATAGAAAAATAATCAAAACATTAATATTATTAAATACTTCAAGAATATTCTAGAAGCATCAGAAAAGACATATTCTAGTTCTTCTAATGATGAGACTTTGAGAGAGTGAAATGCGGAATTTATTGTAGAATTTACACAATCCTGTAGGTCATCTTTGTTGGTCTTATTTATTACATAATCACAGGTCATCTTTGTTGGTCTTATTTATTACATAATCACGAATGTACAACAATATGCATCAAAACAAAATTTGTACAACATCGTTGAAAATGAACTTTCTCCGAAATGATTACGAGGAGCGTACGAATCTACCCAGGAAAAAAAACACAACAAACGGCCAAAAACTTTTGCAATAACTGATGTTGAAGATTAGTACTCCGAGGTTTCAACTAAAAGATTTAAGTTTTAATGATTTTACAACAACAACAAAAAAAAAGACAAATACTCAATACTAAGTCACGTGATCATTTATGACATCCCGTGATTCGGCCAACTACATTAATTTTTTTCTTACAACTCTGCAATGTTGAGTTTCGTTTGTTCGATAGCAATTAAACTGGCCATAACGTCCCGCGAGCTATATTAATAAGAAAATGTGGTTCCATAATTCTGATATAATCCGATGTTTTAAGTTACTTTCATATAACATAAAATAGAAATCGATTTGCTTTTTCAATACTACTGTATAATCTTGACTTGTCTATCTGTCCGTCCGCTCTCTAGAATAACTAAACAGCTCAAGCCCATATCCGCCGTGAATCTTTTGGTTTGTGAATGTGATGAGCAAGAAAGTAAAAGTGGGCTTTTTGGGCGTCGCATGAACTTAATGATAGGAGTCCATGAGATGTTAATAAGCCCATATTCCGAGAAAATACCCAATAAAAAAAAGTCCAACGAAACGGTACGCATGTTAGAGCATCATTAACAATGGCCTCTTAAGATGGTTCTTAAGCAAGAGACATTTATTTTTTTCTTTTAAATAAGAGACCAAAATCAATAATTCTTGCATAAGAACTACCTTAAGAGGCCATTGACAATAGTAGTCTTAGTGATGCGTGATTGTTGTTGTTACAAATTACATCGACTAACATCACCGATCAAATTATACTAAAAAACTTCTCACGAATGTAAGCAATTCAAAGTCAGCACTTGATACTTAATACTTTTACACTAAACTTGGTGTACGGGAAATGGAAATTTCCAGATTAGAGTATAGTAATGTAATAGATAAAATAAACCATCAGCGACTATATATGATTTCCAGATTTGGTACTTCCGTTTATATTCGCGAATTTTAGAATTATACTGTTTGTCTGCATTTATCTATTATATGATCGTTTCATTCACACATGCTAAAAAGACAACCCCATATGAGTGAAGTACAATTCCTTAAAAAAAATACTAACTTTTACATGGAAGTACAACAACCAGAAATATTACTCCCAACTTATTCCTCTTGTTTTGTCACATTTTCGTTATGGTTCATTCGTAATAATAGACGTCTATTAAGAGCCTGCCTTAATAATGTCTATATATAAATATCGAAACGACGCACAATAATAATTGTATGAAGCATAGAGAGATATAATAAAAACAAATTTATACAACCGAAACGAAGTTTCGAGGAAAGATAAAATAATAGGAAGAAAAAGAATTCAGAATGTGGTTAGGCTGTGTGACGGTCCCATCATTACCTTATATTAGCCAACATGCCCACTAAACACACCAGCTAATAAAAGGTTCTCTAATTCAATTCTGCTTTTATTGATCTCTTTTGTCTATAACAACAACATTTTACTACTACTAATACTACTTAATTAAGTAATACTATTAATGATAAGGTCCAAATATGATTACCCTCTATAAATATCGTCAAACACTCTCATCAGATTCAAAAAAAAAAAAACAAATTAACGGTAATAAATTGTTATAGTAGTAATAACACACAAAACTAGGCACAGATCTCAAAAAAAGTCTCACTCACTTCTCGGACTAATAACTTTAATTTTAAAATCTACACAACTTTTGAATTATTTATTTATATGTGTATATTCCAACAACCATAATAAAATAAACAAGAAGCAATTTGTTTTTTTTTTTCTTTTTCGAAACAAAAAGAAGAAGACTATAGTAGTAGTAGTATTCCAATGTGTAAATCAAACCCATATATCCCGGAAAAAAAAAATTAAAAAAATGAAAATTGAGGAAGAAGAGAGACGACAGAAGAAGAAGAAGAAGGGCAAAATAGGAATATTTGGAGTTAAAAGAAAACTCAAAAGCTTCCTTCAACGCCTGCACCTAGTGATGGTGCTGCATCCACGGCGGTAAGGATTCGCCTGAGCTCCACGCTGGCAGTTGTAGTAGGAAGCACCCCGGCGAGAACAAGGCACACTGTTCTTCCTCATCGCACCGTAGCTGACGTACTTCTTCTGGGCCAAAATACGGCGGCTGATGTCAGAATCGAACTCCATCTCTTCTTCCTCGGCGATGCACTCGGCGATCGATCCTTTGCATCCTCCGGAGAAGAGCGAAGAAGAAGATCCTCCGATGGTTGTCCGTACGAAATCTAGCGAATCTCCTCCGAAGTCGCCGCCGCTTGATTCGACGGCTGAGATTACGATCGCCAGGATCGCTATGACGGCGTAGATCGCGCGACTGTTCATCTTTCAATAACCAAATACCTTCTCCGGTGAATCAGAGTCTTCTTTCTCCTCTCGATTTCTCTTTTTATTGAAGTTGTGCTCTCTCTCTCTCTTGATTTGATTCTGTACAGAGCTGAATGAAGACAACAGGTTAAGCGTTGGTGTGTAGCTTCTTATAACCTGAGCATTTTATTAGAACGGGCTTCTTTATCTTTATATTCACGAATCTGCCATTATTATACTAATACAACAAACAAAAGGAAAGAACTGGTACGCGTTTCTTTATTTTATGTTCCTTTATTTATTTGATTGATTATGAAATTTGACTTAATTTATTATATACAGTACGTATATATTGGTTGGTGTAATTTTTTTTAATCATGAAATTAAAATGTCTAAGCTTTGAAATATTCGTTTTGGGTCTACTTTTTGAAGTTTTTGGATATGTATGTTTTTCGTGCATCCACGACGACTTCGACTTGTAGACGGCTTCAAATCAGAAAATTGATATAGCAAACTTTTTTTAATCCCTAATGCAATATTTAAGAGCTTATAATCTTTACAATGGACAAAAAAAAACAAATAACTATTTGCTAACATGTAAATGTTCCACGAGTTTAGACACATAATGGGGGGGGGGGGGGCGTTTACGTAATTAAAGGGTGAAACCAAGGGCATTGATAGAGACGGCAAGCTGGTTGACCGGTTTGTCTGATTCCTGTTCTCTCTCTCTCCTCTCTATCGGCCAAATGGTATGAAAATGAAACTATTATATGTATCAACTTTTTTGGTTAGACGGCATCTAATCTACCTCCCAAATCCACCCATCATGCCGTTAGCGTCAACGCACGTTTTCTCTTCTTTCCTTTACTATGTTTTCCCCTCGCCGTTCGGAGTTTAATTTTTTCCCTCCCGTTATATGCCAAAACACAATTTTTAACTCGAGAAATTCAAGTTAGATAAGAGTTTCTAATAAATTTAGCTCGTAAACTGAATAAAAAGAAAGTTCTACATATAAAAATCATTTCAATATATACACATTAGTACATGAATACGGGATTGTTTTACTATTACAGTGTGTTAATAAAATGATTTGCAGACAACTACAATATTTTAATTAATTAACTTCTTCTAATCCCAGTATTGGCTTACATTCATCAAATCAGAGATACGATAAAAGATGAAAAGCCAAAGTAATTAAAAGACATGTAAACCACTCTACCAAACATCGTCGTTTACTACTACTAATTTATTATACAATCCATTTTCATGGGGTAGCAGTTAGCACTTCTATATTATATCAGTTGACAAATTCTTTTAGTTAGAAACTAGAAAAGATATGTCTAATATAAGATTACTTTTGACAACCCCCCCCCCCTCCCCCAAATACGTTAATCCATATGTAATTGTATCATAACGCTTCATGTGTGTATGTGCATAGATTTTAACTTAGAGAATAAATGATCAATAGATCCTTACATCACTTTATGTTTTTGTTTTTATGTACCTGCATAGAATGCCTTTGAGAGGATCTTTTTAACCCAATACTCACTCAAAAAGCGTTTTTAAATGAGAGAGAGAGAGAGAGAATACAGCATCCAACTCCAACGGCTAGTTTGTCCTTTTTTTTCTTTTTGTTGTTTCGTTAATAATATTTACTCCGGGGATAACGTCGACGGCGTCAGAGAGCGGCGGCGGGTAACGTGAGAAGAAACCGTTAAAGAACAAAAAGTGGGACCCAATCAACAGATCACCAAGAACGGCGTTTGCGCGTTACCCAAGTTTATCCCCCCCCCCTCCCTAAAATAGCCAGCTGGCTCCTTTAACCGATTCTAATTGTTTTCTCAATATTGTAACCTTTTTTTTTATATGATAATCTACATTATAGCTTTTTCTTCGATTGTATTTTTCAACAGATTACTAACAATCATACGATATAATTAGTGGTTTATTGAAATATTAGTAATGATTACTATAGACGACGACAAATGTTTCATATACTTTTTGTTTTTAAAGGAACACAGCACGAGATTTTTAAACTTATTATTGATTGAAACCGAAAATTTATTTTTTGAATGCGATACCAATGGAAAGTATTATGCAAAGCAACACTCTCCTCCTTACTTTTCGTATGAGGTTATCACGAATAAGATACCAATCATGAGGACATATCAAAAACAAAAGAAATAAAAAAACACAAAGATTCTATGTTTATATGTTATGGAGAACCTCTTCTTCGTTTCCTTCTTTTTACAACTAGACCGACTTTTTTTTTTCTTTCTTAAGAGATAGGTCTCTTTAAATTTAAAACGAAATATTATATAAGCCAACTCCCAAAATTTTATATTTTCTATAAGATTGTTATACAAAGGAGAAAGACACAGAATTTTATAACTGTCCCTTTCTTTGGACCTGTTCGCTATCTTTTTTACTTAATTTAATCTTATAAAGAGAGATATAGTGGTTCGTGGTAACCTTTGAAGAACATTTTAAAAGTATATTACTCATTTTATTCTGTCTCATTTGCTTTTCATAGGGGAGAAATTCAATTCATGAAAAAAATACCTTCTCTCATAATTGTGTTTTGCTTTTAAAACAAACGGACAAAAACAAAGGTTAGCGTTTTTGCGTTGGCATTTAAAACAATCATGCCCTAAGTAAAATGATTTGAGAAGGCAAATTTGACTTACATTTATCGACACTTTTTAAGTTGGTCTGTTGGAGATAAAGCTAAAGGGATGGGTGGAATAAGAATTTATGTGTAGATGCTCTCAGATTCAAAGTGTGTTGGCATGCTGTTTTTATGTCAAGCTAGATAGAATACGCAAATGCATTAGCCAATAAAACATGACTGAACAACACCGCACGCCGTTCAGAAGTTTTGCCAAGAAAGGATCAACTGTGATTGTAGTGGATGGAGCACCTACGACTACACTACACAAATATGCACATAGTGTGTCACCTTTTTCTTCTATCCTGTCCTAGAGAGAGAGAGAGAGAGAGAGGCATCTTACCGTCAGAACGTAGATAATTTTATCCATGTGTGAGAAAATAAAGCAGGATCGAAACTGCCTCCATGATTCCATGATCTTCTTCGGATCCCATTTCCTGTAAAAAGATGTGCAACGAGGTTAAATTGAAATCAGATTTGCTGTTTGAACAACAGTACGTAGCTAAGAACTTAAGAGTGACCCTGTTTATTGTTCTTGACGCATTTAATCGTGGTTTAGTAAGTCTGCTTCCAGTGAGAAAAGAGGACAATGAAAGAAAACAAAAGCTTAATCACATTTGAATTACATCTAGTGGTACCAGTATTGATATCATACACTCGAGACATTTCATGCTTGCAAGCTTACTAAGAAGAGGGTTGTACAGATATTTGTCTTATCACACAAGAAGACACGAAGCTGTTTTGATCAATTTCTCTGATAATTAATTATATTAAAAAAATCTTGAACGATTGAGAGAGAGGGTAGAGAAATTACAGTTGAATGAGATGAGGAAAACTTCCACGCAAAAGGATCTTGAGCTAATAATCTTCATTGTGAGGTGGCGTTGCCTCAACACCTTCTTCCTCTTCGTCATCCTCATTTACATCTACCCAATTACTAGGATGGCGCTGGGAGAAACTTTGGTTGTTCTGTACCCGTCCTGAGGAACAAGTGACAAAGACGTGACTACCTTTTAGAATAAGTTACAAGACGTGACATAGACAAGGCTGTAGAAATGATTCTTCAGGTACCTCGGGATCCTCCAGTGTGACCTATCTGCGTGGGACGTTGGCTGAAATAGAGTCAAAGATAACAAAGCATATAATGAAATAAGTAGTCACTGGAGCTATGTGATTTCGGGTTATGGAGCATGCTGAAATGATTAGCAGTTAAACAGGCTAGGAATGCACTTTAGAAGCAAATTGCAACTACACAATTAGAAAATTTTAATCGATTGTGGACTATGATTTAATGCATAACAACTAAACAGGCCAAGAAGTGTATGGTTATAATGATTATGAGAGTGAAGGATACGAGTAGGGAGCTGCAGGAGCAGTATCCCCAGCTGGCCCGCCTTTTGATATTTCCATATTCCTTATTCTTTGGATATCCAAGTCGGGTTGTCCCTGAGCCTGTGGCCTATCCTCAGAACCGCTCACGCTCTTAGTGGCAAATCCTGCTACCCAGCATCGATGTTTTTTAATAATCAGAAAAGATGATGAATTTCACAACCATTAGATTAGTCACTACCTGACAGTTCAGACCAAACTCGTGTATGATCAGATGGGTGCTCTGAGGCATTCTGCCTAGACCTTTCATGAGGCTGCGATCCAACTTGCTCAGCAGCATGGCCACCTGTGGAGTTTGCTGCTTCAGGAGGTTCTTGCGGAATCCCTTCTTGAAGTTGAGACACAAGCATTGTCGCAAGAACGAGCGTTGCATCAAAACTTGAGCTTGACCCATCACCCAAACCGAATTTTGGAGCCATCAATATTGGTCTAACAACAAAGATATTATGATATTCAGCAACAGATAAGATAGTGACTACATAACTAGTTGCCCGGCCAAAAAAAGAAGATGGTGTAAAATTGGGTCATTTAGCAAGCACACTTGATAAGCATGTACACCCTTTATCGGCAAAAAAAAAAAAAAAACACACAAATAGTTTAGAGGTATTGTCCCGAATGTACTTGTAGTTGAATTTAAAAAATATCAAGGGTATACAGGAAGATGCATTTATTAAGCAAAATTCACAGGATGTAAAAGAAATGGTTCTTACTCGCCAGCTTTTTCGAAAAAAAGATGAATGTCAGCTTCACAGCCCTCACAGAATGAAAGAAATGCCTGAAATATATCAAAGATATGTGATCAACACAAGTTGTGTTACACAATAGAGGTGGATAGAAATCAAATCAGGTTTCAGGTGGAGGAATGTTATACTTTTAGTTCCTTCAAGGAAAATGTGATGTCAACAGGATCACCTGCGTGTGTATACTGCAAAAATTCTTCTGATGGATCTATCCATAGCTGAGTATGTAACAAAGAGTCACCATCTGCAGTTGGAAAAAGAATTGTTAGCAGCCTTACACAGGAAACCTGATTAATCCAGTCTTAGCATTATTTTAATAGTCCTAAACCTTTGGTTGGATCCACATAGCTCCGAAACTCAACAGCTTTTCCACCTATTTCACTCTCAGCATCAGAGGGAAAAGAAGTTTGATCTGTAGAAATTATTGTAATCTCTTGGAGGGATGACTGGAAATTTCCAAGCAACTTGCTCAGATTTCGAGGATGCACAACTAAGGTACTTGGAAATCTATCCCTATCAAGCGACAGATGCTGTATATCAGGTTCCACATTGCAAGTAATCCAATATGTTTTCTTCATACCTGCTCAAATGATTGAATAACTCCAAATCAGGCTCCAAACGAATTAACATCATAATCCTAGTCTTCAACGTAATCAGTAAACTTGTAAAAGTTATCTAAGAAGTAGAGGTCTTGATAAGCTGCTGCAAGGAAGATTATGCTATTATTAAGAGGTCTGAATCATGTACAACATCCAGGTTTCAGACAAAGTTACCATAGAATGTGGTGTTAGCAGACAAGATCATACAATGTGTAAGAACAAGGGAATATGGCTTTTACCACTGTAACACTCCAAAGTCCATTTGACCTTAGATGCATCATGATCTGGCAACTGCACACTCATGTGATCGATGCTCGCAAGAGGAGTCCTAAGAACAGAACAAACAGCCTGGGAACAAAAAAAGGTAATATCAGAGCGACAACTCTTCTATCAATGAAGTCAATGGGCTACACTCAAAATTTCAGGACAATAGTAAATACCTTCAAAAGTACACTGAAATGAGCTTGAGGACCAGAAACAGTATATACATCAAAGAAACTTGACTGAAATGTAATACACTGATAAGCAGAACGTGAAGCATTTAAAGTATGCAATTCCAGCTGCAAAGGTTTCGACGAACCAAAAAAAAATAAAAAAAATTAGATCAAACAAGGCTAATAAAGTACTGCACAAATCTGAAGATATACATACTAGCATCAAGTGCGTCTCTTAGAATCAGTAAATGACTCAAATCTTGTTCACTTAATTCTATATCTCTTCTCCCCTAATCACTTACACTCAGAATCATTTCTAAATAGAAATCGAGAATTGTAGACAGTATAGTCAGGGTATTGTGACAAATTATTCAGATAACCTACAAATATAATCAAGAACATGGCTCATAGACACAGGATCCTGGGGCGATGTAGCAATTTATCGACTACATATATCCCAAGCGGGAAAATAAATTAAAAAAAAAAAAAAGCCCTAAATCCGACTTATATAAACAGACGAATCGCAAGTTTTCTCACCAATTAATTTACAATACTCAAAATTAGGGTTACGCAGGAATCGATGACAGACAACAAAACGGATAAGGAGAGAACCTGTGTCGGTGACGCTTGAACAACGAGCTCGTTGCCGACGCGTGCGAGGCAGGTTATAGACCTAGCGAAGGTCTTCAGCGCATTACCACTGATACTGAACTCCATCTCAGTCTCTCTCTCTCTCTCTCTCTCTATTCGTCCCTGAAGGAAAAAAAAAAAAACAATTTCAAATTTTAATTTAAACCTAAAGAAGGAGAAACTGTGACGATTGGCGGGATTGCCATGAATCCTGAAATCAGAGTAAAGCGCGAAAAGTAAAAAAAAAGTAAAGTGTAAATGGGCTTATAATGGGCTTTGAACGATTTAATTGGGCTACAATCACAGATGGTGACGTCATTGACTAGAGAGAGTTCGGTGGGCATCCTTTAATTGGGCATTAATTAGGTAAAAAAAGGGACAGAGTTTATAAATTGCACAAAATATTGTTTGTCGTGTGACAGAGACAAATCTCGCATTTGTACTGTTTCCCCTTTACAAAATCTAAAAACTGGCTATTATTAATTTCATTTTCATTTCATCTTCTGGTAAATATAAATATAAATATAAATAAAAAGATATGAATGTTTGTCTTTTGTTTTTTTTTTCTTCTTCTCTCGCAAATGGAATCTACGATATTCAATCAACCTCAAGACTCAAGAGCTACCCATGTGATATAATCTGACAATTTTTATGGGCTTAGTATATATGTATTTTAAATTTTTGTTTGTTTCTCCAAACTATTTATTTACTTTATTCTCAAGACAAAGTAGGTACAAACAACTCTCTGTAAATATGGATTCCTTTTTTTTTCTTTTTATTATTATGCTAAATGTAGACAGAACATCAATTGATAACACACTCTTTTGAATAATAACTCTGAGATATGCAGACGACAAAAGATGTAAAACTTTCTGCAATCTACTTTATATATATGACAAAAGTTAGATACTTTAGCAAAATATCATCCCTAAATCATGGTTTTCCTCTTCTTTTTTTCCATTGGTCTTCTCGATACGTTGACTTTTTAATCTCATTTTCATTTATTTGATTGACAATAACGACCCACAATTTTGAAAATTTTGTAGTAATCACCCATGGTAGCATTACGTGATCTCCGGTACCATGTATAGACTAAACAAAGTTTGTATTATATTCCAATATAAATAACTCATAATATAATACGTTGAACTGAATATTGTTTAAGACAAGTCTATACAAGTTAGGCCCCACGTATGTCAAAGTTGCTGACACAAAGCTGTTAAATGAACCGAACAGTAAAAGTGAAAACTATAGGTAACAACAAATGTTGCAGTGTTATACAAATCTAGTGATATATTCATTCTGAATTTCTGATATCGATACCAACAAAATGGATGTCTCAATGGTAAGTCTATAGATCTACTGCTTTGAAACCCCATCTTTTTCTATTATTGAAATGATAGATTGGATTGAAACACACAATTCTCAACCTCTTGCTTTGCCACCATTTAAAAAAAAAAAAACAATAAATGTAACTAGAATGTTTAGCTCTTCTCGTTTCGTTATTATTATTTTCATTGTAAACACATGTCAGACAATTGGTTTTGATACTAAAATTGTCATACTTTTCAGTAGATCATGAGTAAACTACTATTGAAAACGCGATCAAAAGCCAAACACTAGCTTTCTAAAAAGTCCTTCATCATATCAAAGATAATAAAACATGTGTTAGTCGAAGAAATCAACATCATATCCTACCAAACAATCTTTAAGACATATATTGTGAAACTATGAACAAACTAACCATCTCACTTTGGGAAGCTTTAGAATGTGACTAGATAGATCGACAGAGAAGCTTGCCCAAGTTATTCATTTCTATATTTCGTCACTACCCACCTATTGGTCTAATTTACCAGATTCCAATTTATGTCCATTATTTTTATTTCGAAGAAAAAAAATATATAATTGAATATATAGTCACAATCTTGGAAACTTCTAACCGTAAGAATAAGTGTTAGATTTACCCTGTATTATTTTGAGCTAGGCATTATTATATTTCTTGGACTAAGAAGGGATATGCAAAAGAGACAAAATGATATATTTTTGTATTTACACAGAAATATTATTTGGTAAAAGGTTAATTTTTATACAGAAATATATGTTTTCCTTGGAATTTTTTACAAAATTACACCATCAATGTTTTAATGAAAAGATACTTGTTAAGTAAAATTAATACATCTATCTATAAGCTGAAGTTGCATATTTTGTAACGAACCTATCACGACAATATGTTCCCAAAGTATATCCTTAAATAACCAATGAACAAAACATATGAATGGGAATGAATCATTCATACGTATGTTGTTAGGTAAGTGTATCAAAAAGACATTCATATCAAACACAAGAATAAATTCAATACAATAAATACGAATAATAATTTGTTATTTGTATTTGGCCTCATAAACAATGGTGGGTTGTACAGTAAAATTACCAAATGGTTTGAACAAGCCAAATGTGCCAACAATAAGAGGACCCACTCTCACACCAACACCTACACGCTTTCTTTCTTTCTTCTATCTTCTCTTTGCTTATTTACCAGATTTTATCCCCTTTTTTTTAATCTCTACTATCTTCCTTAAACTAAATTTAAAAAGCTGTTTTTGTTTCCAAACTTAAACTAAAAAAAAGCTTCACATTGTCACGACATTAACTCCAAGAGAAATTTGCATTAATAGTTTAATACTCTGCAATATTAAAAACTTGACATTTGTTCCTTTGTTCAATCTCTTATTAATGATTTATTTATTTGGTTAAGAGATTGCTTTAGTGGATAAATTGCAAAATTAGCACTGTTGTTTCAGTAAGGAGAGTTAATGGAGAAAGAGGGTGTTACCATTACCAGTACAACTATAGTTGCAGAGTTCAGGGGTTCCTTGGAGTAGCATTAAAGTCTCCAAGGAGAGAAAATATAAAAACATAAAAGAGAAAACAACTGGAGTCTTTTCTAATAAATGGTTTCTTCTTGTGATTTATAATACAGTTGATGATTTGTTATTACAGTGAAAAGATCTAAACACAAAAAGATGGTTTATTTTCGTCAGATTTTTCTCATGATCATTGTAGTGATGGTGTCATTACACTGCTGCAAAGTTTGCATTGTCGCTGATGCTAAAGAGCTTGATGATTGGAAGGTTTTAATGGTGGAACACGGTGAGAGATACCGGACCCAACTCGGGAAATACGCCGGAGAAGACGGAGGCGAGAAGAATAAGCTTGGGTTTTTGGTAAAGTTCCGAGCTTTACTCGATTTGATTAAACCCTCTACTCCCCGGCGAAGAACTCTCGCCAAGTCTGCTTCTTTATCTCCTTGGCCGGCGCCGTCGCCGTCTCCGTTTCCCGGTGGTGCTCCTCTCGAGTCTCCGGCGTATCCTCCAGCTCCTCCACGGCCAATCCCTCCACACCTCCGTCGTCCGTTGCCTCAACGGACCCATCCACTGAAGCAACCCGAGATTCAAAAGCGAAAACATGAAAAAAAAGGAACACTGAATAAGATTCTTCTACCTGTCGCTGTCTCTACAGCTTCTGGAATCGGTTTCGTTGTTTGTGTTGTCGGAGTGTTCTGTCTCTGCGCGAGAATCAGAAAAAGGAAGAAGAGCGGTGAAACGCCGTCGATTAAGCGGAAGAAGGGTAAATCTCAGAGCTCAACGAGGAAGGTCAGTGTAAACCCTACTCTCGATTTCTTGTACTTAAACTCACTAGGAGTTGATTTGGAGAGACAAACCTCTGTTTCTTTAAAAGAAATACGAGAAACCGAGAAGGATTTGAACAATAACAATGGTGGGTTGCTTGAAGAAGAGGTAAAGAGAAGTATTGAAACAGAGATTTCGCAAGATTGGGACAATGCTAGTAGTTATTCAACTAAAGAGATTGTGTCGGTGCATGAAAATGATGATGAGCAAACAGTAGACTCTGTTTCTGCTCCTGTTGTTGTTATAAATGGATGCAATGATTCTTCAGACGATGATGAGTCTTTTCATTCTGTTGGTGGTGGCTCTCAGCATTCAAATCCAAGATTATCAAATGCCTCTTCGGCTTCTGGTAGTGTTAACGTTGGATCTTCTCAACGCTTCTCAGAACACAAACTGGATATTCCTGAATGTTCCGGGAACGATTTCGGATTCTCTCCTCCACCACCGCCACCACCACCGCCGCCTCCACCGCTCCCGCAATCCACAAATAAACGTCTTCACACTCCTAATCTGCAGACGCTTTCGTCCCAGTTATGTGACAAAATTTGCGCTTCTTCCTCAAAGTCAAATCTTCCGAGCAGTGAAACAAATTCACAAGAAAATTGTTCTAAATCTCTGCCGCGTCCACCACCACCGCCGCCGCTACCGCCCCAACAGCTTCAAGTAGCTGGAACGAACAAAACGCCCCCACCGCCATTGTCTCTTGATTTTTCTGAGCGTAGACCATTAGGCAAAGACGGAGCTCCATTGCCTAAACTGAAGCCGCTTCATTGGGATAAAGTCAGGGCTACACCAGATCGGACTATGGTATGGGATAAGCTCAGAACAAGCTCTTTCGAGTAAGTTTACAACTGTCTTTAGCCTTGAGACACAATCAACAGAAGTTTTACAAGAAAGTGTGAGTTATGTGTTGTCTTGTGGTTTCACAGATTAGACGAAGAGATGATTGAGTCACTTTTCGGATATACGATGCAAAGCTCAACGAAGAATGAGGAAGGAAAGAGCAAAACTCCCTCACCAGGGAAACATCTTCTTGAACCTAAGAGACTTCAGAACTTTACCATTCTTTTAAAAGCCCTCAATGCAACCGCAGACCAAATCTGCTCCGCCTTAGGGAAAGGTAAATTAGGATCAACTCATATCGACACATTGTGGACTTAATGATCTTAATTTTAGATCCGCTTTTTCAGGGGAAGGCTTATGTTTACAGCAACTAGAAGCGTTGGTAAAGATGGTGCCGACTAAAGAAGAAGAACTGAAGCTGTCTAGCTACAAAGGAGCAGTGGATGAGCTGGGATCGGCTGAGAAATTTCTCAGAGCTCTTGTCAGAGTTCCATTTGCATTTCAGAGAGCTGAAGCAATGCTTTATAGAGAAACGTTTGAAGATGAAGTGGTTCATCTTAGAAACTCCTTCTCCATGCTTGAGGTAACACAGTGTTTACTTATACATATTCCTATATTGATTTCTTGCACATCAAGTTACGGTGATTAACACAAAGTACTTAACTAGGAAGCTTGCAAGGAGCTTAAATCGAGCAGGTTATTCTTAAAACTTCTAGAAGCTGTCTTAAAGACTGGAAACAGGATGAATGTAGGGACTATACGCGGTGGTGCAAAAGCCTTCAAGCTCGATGCTCTGCTGAAGCTCTCTGATGTAAAAGGGACAGATGGAAAGACCACTCTGCTTCATTTCGTTGTACAAGAGATCTCCAGATCTGAAGGAATAAGGGTTTCAGACAGCATCATGGGACGGATAATGAACCAGAGATCAAACAAGAACCGAACCCCTGAAGAGAAAGAGGAGGACTACAGAAGGATGGGGCTCGATCTCGTCTCGGGTCTAAATACAGAACTACGAAACGTGAAAAAGACTGCAACGACAGATCTGGAAGGTCTTTTTAGCTCGGTAACGAATCTGAGGGACGGCTTGGGGCAGTTGAGGTGTCTAGCGAGTGAGAAGCTGAAAGGTGACGAAGAAAACAGAGCATTCGTTAGTTCGATGAGCTCGTTCTTGAGGTACGGAGAGATGAGCTTGGAGGAGTTGAGGGAAGATGAGAAGAGGATAATGGAGAGGGTTGGAGAGATAGCAGAGTATTTTCATGGGGATGTGAGAGGAGATGACAAGAACCCATTGAGGATCTTCGTGATTGTAAGGGATTTCCTGGGGATGTTGGATCATGTTTGTAGAGAATTGAGGTGTGTTAGGGTTCCCAATAGCCCTAGCCCTTTGGCTCCGTTTCGATGAACAGAGGTTTGATTGTTTGGTTTCTGTAGGAATTGTTATATGAATTTCTTGAGTTGTTTTATTGAGAAACAGAGTGGTTTTGAGCAAAGATTCGGGACTTTGAGTCTATGGAAGGTTATGTGAAGATCGGTAGATATGTATGGATTTGTATACAGTATGTGTATCATATATATGCTAAAAATCATGAGAGACGACAATATTCCTATGGCTAATCCAGAGTTTGGTACTTAATTAATGTATTGTAAATTTGTAATCCTGTTGTAAACGAATACGACAAAACTATGCGTTTTATCCTCGCCGTGAGTTCAAAGTCGGAGGAAGGCCCAACAAAACGGCCCAGAGTAAGAATCTTAGGCCCCGAGAATGAGATTAGAAAAAGGAGGTCGAGAGAAGGATTGATTGATTAGCAAGAAACCCTAATTCCCGTTCCGATCATGAGACCCGTCATCGCCCAGGTAATGGAAAATTCAGTGCTTTTATCCGGGGGATGGATTTCTTCGTTATTTTTGTTGTTGTTGATTAAAATCTTCCCCTAATGACCCAAAAACAAATAAAAATTTTGCAGTATTTTCGCCGAATTGGGTATGGCCGCCAGTCCCGCGATTTATCTTCCTTGAATTTGCGTCCTATTAATGGTACGTAGGTCTCTCTTTCTTTTCTTTTCCCTCAAACAAATCTATCGAAATGAATTAACATTATATATATATTCTATGCATGAGAGACGCGGATACGTATTTAATTTGTTTGTTTGTACGTAGGGAGTACTGCTCATGATCGGGCTCTATTTGCCGCGATCGTCAAGGGTCATCTTCTTGATATTGTTGTCGGAGGGACTTGCGGATACAGTCTTGGTATGCTCACAGAAAAATGGACATTTCTTTGTTTTTTTTTTTTGTTTTTCTATGAAATACAAGTCACCCTCATCTGACACTTCCGCAGCTGCTCTTATGATGAATCTTCTCATTGGAAATAGATCAAAAGAGGCGGAGCGAATCGAACAGGTGAGTAAGAAAACATTTTACCTAGTACGTCTGAAAATCTGAGAAATAGTATTAATATATCATTAATTGTGATCTTGTGACCATGCATGCTGTGTGTTTTGCAGGAATGGAAGCAGAAGCAGCTCGAGCTAGATGAATGTGAAAAGACAGCGGAGAAGGAGAAAATGATTTTTCAAGACCGTTATCAACGCAAGAGGCAGGCCAGATGACTGACAAGTGACAACATACGATGTGTGATACTTTTTTTTATTTTTTATTTATTATGTATTGCTTTTGGATTCCTTTCTATGTTTCGATATTTATGCGTCTGTGTCCAACATTGCTCTAGGCAAAGCATAAATTTACGTTGTTTTTGGTAAATTTAATTATTTTAAGATTTCTTGTGTTTGATCTTTCTTAATTTTATTTTCAAGGGGCAATAGAGAGTGCATCCATATAATGACTTTTTATATTAACTCGATCAATGCTTTTTCTTTATGAAAATAAAAAGTTATTAATAAAATAAATAAACTTTTAAAAAAATAAAAAATAAATAAAGATATTCCTATAGAAGCAAGCAATCTCGTGTCATGGGTACGTAAATTCGATTTTGGGACAATTGGAAGCGAAGCCCAAGTTAAAAATATGAGGCCCCCCTGGTTGGAGATTAAAAAGAGGAAGGCAAACAATAACGTCGCGGGAGTAGTAGAAACCTCAAAAGAAGAAGAGCAAACCCTAATTTTTCCAGTCAAAGAGGAGAAGAAATGTGGAATCGGATTTTCCCAGTAATCGAGACTATTATTCAATTTTTGAGTTATCATATATATTTTTGTTACTATATGATCTAATCTAAAATTGGCTGACATGGATGGAAAACTGCAGCAAAGTAGATATTTGCAGGGTTACGTAGGATATGCCCTTCCAGGTTATGTTGGATTTATTGGCTACATGCTTTTGGGTAATTAATTTATGTGAATCTGTCGTCTTTGTTTGGTTTGCTCTACAAATATATATATATATATATATATTTGCTGATCGATCGCTGTGTTGTGTTGTGTTGCTACCACCTTCAGAATGGAGAACTCTTAGGCGAAACCAGAAGAGGGAGGATGAAATAGAAAAAGAAATAACCCGCAGGACAGACCGTATTAGCAAAATAAATGAAGAGGTATATAGTTCACTACTGGATTTTGTTTTCTTCTATGCTTTGTTTTAATTTTAAGCTTTTATTAAGGTGTGATAATTAAGTTTCATCACAGATGCTATCTATATATATATATATGAGAGTACGTTCTCATCAGATTCCATGCATACATATCAAAATCATCAGGCTCGATCTTATTAATTATGAGCTGTGTACATGTCCCCCCCTCCCATGTTTCAGATATTTAGGCTGTTCTGTGAAGCCTGTGAAGGAACCCACGAAGAGGATGAATCCGATCGATCGAGTGACTAAAGCGTTTTGTTGCAAGTTTGCTTGTTTATGCTAGTTTTCATTATTATGCAAACATTAATAGAGCATGTATGATGACATGATGCAGTTCAATTCTTATAATTTATAATGATTACAGCTCTGTTGTATGTGTGTATTTGTCTTCCATTTCCATCCTTGATACCTTTTTATCTAACCAGTATTGGAAAACAGCAACGCAACCTGTAAAAGCACAAAAAATCAACACATAGACTCGATTTTTTTTTTTGTTATAAAGGTTCAGTATATCGTCACATCATCCATTATATGAGGCCTAATCAGGCATAAGTCTCATAAATCAAAAAGTCACAGAGGAACACAAATAAAAATTGTTCTCTGTCTACTACAAATATAAAGTCGATGCAGCCTGCAGGCTTGCAAGTTGCAACAAGTGTTCAATAAATCGATCTATAATTTTAAACATTTAACTGTATTATGAAGTAAATGCTTAACAAGTTGTTAAATAGGTAATACAAATAAATTAATAACATACGATATACTATAGTTTGTAACATATTTTTTTCTGTTACATCTAAATATTTGGATCATTCTTGCTTATAGCATATTTTCTTCAATGCTAAATAATTTGACAAAAAATAAAAAAAAGTCAGATTACTCCCATTTTAACATATTCAGTAATTTTCTTAAAAAACTAAAATATTTTAATAAAATAATAAGTATTTTATAAATTGCATTTTATATTTAGATATACTAAAATAGATAAC